GAGAAAACAACTCAAGCAAGGCCATGGCGGAAAAAAAAAATGCCCCTTCCACTCACTGAAGTGTACAAACCTCTCAAGACGGAAGATGGGTGACGTGTTCGGCCAGTGCGGAGCTCGATATTGGCTAGCAGGTGGCGTGAGACCACAGCTGTGTGTGACGAGGAGAGAGAATGGGCTACGGTGGATAAAAAGTTAAGGATTCCCATTGACGGGAATGGAGTGATGATCTGCACTGCGCTGCGAGTGAGAGGAGCGCACCGCGTGCGCGTGTGAATGCCCAACTCGAGGCGCCTGCACCGAGTTCCGTAAAGCAAATGGGCTGAGGCGCGTGCTGAGCACAGGTCAGAGCCCCATCGCGTATGCACGGAAACAAACTGTTAAGATTGCGCTAGATTGGCCACTTTGTTCTCCTCGGGCTGTCAGCCCGTGAGTGTGACCATAGAGGATTTTAAACTGACACAAAAACATGCTTTTTTGCTCGCAACAACTGGATGGTGTGTGGCTATGACAGAGGCAGATATAGAAGCTTCCAGGGAGGGAGAGAGGGGGGGGCGGGATGGGGCATCACCCCCATCACCCCCCCCTTAAAATCCATCACTGGACTATGCCCATGGAAACAACATGTTGCCCAAAGACGGAAATCATCAGGCATATTTCGAGCATGTAATGTATGGCCACCGTGTGTACCGAACCAGTAGTTCTTAGGGTCGTATTCTTGTTAGTCGCAGCTCGGGCTTGAACCGTTCAGTTGCTTATGAAGATGCGTGTGCGACTCAGCAATGGCTCAGCTGCGGCTCGGCCCCAAACAATCCTGAGCAAGGTAAGTGTGGCCTTTTTGAGCCGGTTCGCTTGAGCCAGAGCCAATCCTGAGCCAGAGCCGTGACGAAGAAGATGGACGTACAAAAAAAAAACAGATTATAGCATTAGGAGTGAGTTTGACCGTCGTTGCCGCAAACGCCAACCAAAAGGACACAGCAGCCTCAGAACAACTGTCCTGAGCACTTATTTAAGAAGGGAATAGCTTCTGTCAGCTTATTTATCATTACAAGCTTACAGCAAACAACGTGGGCATTTGCACGGTCAAGGAAAAAGAAGGCGGCATTGACAGTCTATTGTGTAAGAGAGACTCTGGAAGGATATTTGCCAAGCCCGTGTATGTTTAATAAAATCATCGAGACGTGGTGCTCTTCTGACGTGGACGCCATCAGTACAATACCCGATTAAAAAGTTGTGAAAACAAATTCAATAAACAAGCACCATTATCCCTGAGCACTGGAGGATGCGTTGACGTGTGATTTGTTGCGGAATACGGCACACTTTTTAAACACGCCTGTAGACCCCAGGGAGTTCTGCTCCAAGCTGATCGTAAGGTCTCTTGAGATCACACCCTTTGACATTTGGCTTGTTCTGCAGCGTTGGTTTCCTCCAGAAATGTATGCCAATGTAACAGAGACTAATGACAGCCGTCACACATTCGGCATGACAGACACACATCCCGCTGTTTTATGGATGCCAGAGCCCGAAGGCGGCAGAAATGTGCTCTGTGATTCACGGGAGATGCTTCGGGTGGTGGTGCATGAGTGTCATGACACTGACACCAGCTACGGTAATTCTAAAAATGTCCAGGGGACATAACATGACCGGTCACTCACAGATGATCGCTTAATGTTTGAATACCTGATGGAAGCAATGTCCATCGTCGGGTAGATGTGTGTATGCGTGTGTGTGTGTGGGGAGCGGTAGTGTAGTGGTCAGCGAGCTGCGCTACGAACCCGGCGACCCGAGTTCGATTCCCACTCACGGCCAACACTGGTGACAAATATATGTACCGGTCCTGGGCCTCCCCTAGGTCGACTTAACCTCAAACGAGTACCTGATGCGATGTGTAAACATCGCCACTGGGGAGACAAAGGCGGCCGGGCGCGGTGCTGGCCACCCACCCCCTCGTGTGCCGTGCCGGCCTTCATCTATGCTCAATAACAGCACTCCCACCTGAGGACGATTGCTTGTGTTGCGATCGAAACGTCGTGATATATTATTTGTTCTACCCACGTGACTTTACCGAAAGAACAAAAGAGTGTGGATTCCTGCAGTCACGAAAGCTTCCAATCAATATTGCCCCAATAGTCTGTTAAAGGCGACACGGAGTAAGTGAAGCAGAGTTCAATTCCTCCTCATGACCAATAACATAAGCGAATATTTGAACCGCTCCTCGGCTTCCCAGAGGTTGACTCAGCTTGTGCACTGTTACTGGGTGCTTGCTGAGACCCAAAAGTCTATGTGGTATAGCAGTGCAGGGGATCTTTGTTATTGTGCATCCTCGGCGCCTGTGTTGCAATCGGGAGTATAAATGCCCGGAAGACTTTTAGAGAGAGATACGCACTTTAATTATAATTAAAGTATTTTTTTTCAAGATTGCATTTTGCACGCTTTGCTCATCTCGTGATTTTGCAGTCCCCAGTCTTCGGCCGTCGATGTCCACAACGTCGACTGACAACTGGGGAGCCTCGTGGTTGGACAATGCTTGTCGCTGTCACCTGGCATTCGTGGGTGTTCAATTTTTTGTATTCCATCAGCTGTCCATTAGAGCCGAATGGCGTACCCAGAGAATTCCATTTATCAACGTTGATGGATTGTTTGGTGGATGTCAAATAGCTTGTCATTGTAAGCAAGAGTGACCAATTCAAACCAGGTGTAACGGGTTACAGCTTTCTGAAATGGTCTTCCAATGTATAGTAAACAAGTACAGTGCATTTCTTTCATACATGAAGACATTACAGCACTGAAAGTGATGCATATATACCGCAAACTGCATACTAATTTATCTGAACAAAAGTAAATTGGCCATTTTAATTGTAGCATAATTTTTTCCTTTTACTTTTTTTTGTTAAATTACCCTTATTGAACACAATTAAAGTAATGTAGTTTTAAACCTGCAGGTATATTGTTTGCGCACTTACATTGTGTGTATAACCCAGTAAAATCACTTTAATATGCCTTATGCAATCGTGCTATATTTACATTGGTCTAAGTATTAGCACTTCGTTATGCAATTAGAATGTCTGAGTGCATAACAGAAATGGCCTACTAAATGCATCGCTCAAAACTAAGAGTCAGTCCCAAACCGCTCTGACCATTATTTTTGTGTGTCACGGAATTTTAAAGGTCCAAGTGTCCTTTTTTTAATCTCACACATTTTGTGCCTGATTTTCAGCAATTGAACGTGATGGACCAGCCATTTGCTTTTTTAAGCCGTTATTCAAATGTCTCTTTAACACTCCAGTGGCGCCTTTTGTTTTTTTCCATAGAGACTTGATAACGTTCCGTTTTCAGCTGTTCATTTGTTTCAATGAAATATGTATCAAGTCTTTTAAAATAAATGCATTAATTAAATGCACAGGTCGCATTATATTTTTGCTTGTTCCCCACCCAAAGTGCATTGCATGAAATAATTACTCTGCAGGAATAGAAGTGTTCCTTTGAGGTGCGGGGGGGGGGGGCAGAGGGGGGGAGCACATACACTTAATAAAGGTGGGGGGGGGGGGGGAACTTGAGATGTGGATCTTGCTGCTGGCCTGTTAAACAAGGCCAAGGGCTAACACTGTTTTTAACATTTGATCTACATAACGACACGTTGCTGATATTAACTATGTTTCCCTATTTGTATTTTTTAATTATATCTTAAAGCTATTTTATATTCGATATTTATTTAATTTTATATACTTCAGCCCCTTAGTGTTAGACTTTTAACCCTTATTATAGTAAGACTTGTTTAAAACTTATTTAAGATTTTAGATTCCTATATGTTGAATGTATGCACCATCCTGCCAAAGTAAATTCCGTGTCGGTGTGAACTTACATGGCGAATAAAACCCTTTCTGATTCTGATTCTGAATGCTCTTCTGAGTGTGGAGGGCAAATCACGAGATGGTCTTGCTGCGCGATCACCCTCTTTTTCGTTTCTTTATTCTCAACCTGAACATCGGCTGCTGCACAATTGCACGCATCACACGCTCACTTCTGTGTTTTCATCCCGCCGAAGCAATTCCGAACGTGTGAATGAGGCAGTAAGTCTGTGGATGGAGTCACTGTGGTGTAACCTCTTTGCAGAAATTCATAGGACGTGCACGGTTAGAATATTCATCTTTTTTATGAACATAGTACCTCCATTTGCTAATTGCCCACCGATTATATCAAGTTGAATGCACGTGCAAAAGTGAAATTGGCCTGGTATGCGATTTGAATTCGAAATCTTATTTTCACTGGAATATACTTTAATTTCCTTTATAAAATAAGGAGGGTTCTTAATTAAATATTAGTCTTGATTGCAGCTAAGCTGCTAATTCAGCTATTGCCACTCATTACCTGAAATGCCATTTAAGGGGGCCCTAATGATTTGCTTGGATACACCACTGAATTTAGGTATACTGCGATTAAAATGCCATTTAGAGCCTTCTAATTATAGTCTTCTGAAACTGATGTTAATTTCCACTGCACATTATTTGCTTATTTTGACAGGCGTATATTAAATTGCAGCTACAGGTTACAACTACAAATAATTGCATGTGTCTCAGTTGTGGGTTGTATTAGAGCTGAGTTAAATGTTTTAGAAATAACACAAATTTAGATATACTGTACAGAGTTTGTCCAGTTTACCCCCAGCAAGATGTGATTGTAATAACAAATGATGACGCTATCGACCCATCATCGTGTAAATATTGTCTTTTGTAAAGCAGTACCCGACTTTTATAATTGCTGCATTATCCCCATAGAGTGCCGATCTCTAGCGCGGTCAGTAGATCTAGTTGACCCATTAATAGCCTTGTAAAAAATATTGCACTGCACTGGACATTGCCACAATGCAAACGCTTGCCCAGGAAACTCCTTGTTTTTTTTTAGACGCGTGAACATGCAGTTAATTTTGACCTGCACGCATATATCCAACATGTGCCTAATTTTCCCACCCTTTTTGTTGTTGTTGTTTTTGTTGTTACCCACAGGACACTTTCTTTGAATAACGCCCAAACAAAAGAAGATAAACAATAAGAAAGAAAGAAAGAAAGAAAAACCCCACCACAAAACCCAGCTAACTGTTTGAAAGCATTCGCCGGCCAAACAACAACAACAACAAAAAAAAAACCGGACACAAACATGACCGGCAAAGCACAGACGAGCAACGTGACCAACAAAAACGACCCGAGGTCAATCAACTCGCGCGTCTTCATCGGCAACCTCAACACGGCCATCGTCAAGAAGCCGGACGTGGAGACGCTCTTCTCCAAGTACGGCAAGGTGGTCGGCTGCTCGGTGCACAAGGGCTACGGCTTCGTGCAGTACGCCAGCGAGCGCAGCGCCCGGCTTGCCGTGGCCGGGGAGAACGGACGCGTCATGGCCGGCCAGCAGCTCGGTGAGGTGGAAACAACAACAACAACAAAAAACCGACGACGATGACGATGATGATGATGATGACGTCGTTGTTGTCATTGTCATTGTCGTCGTCGGTGCGATTTATTTTTTACGTTTCCGTGATTTTTTTTAAAATTCTTTGACTGTCGCTGTTTAGTTTGGTTATTTTTTTGTGCTACGTACAATTCACAGCAAAAAGGGTTGTCAACACTTGTACGCACGTATTATAAATGCTTAAAACCGTCGTCGTCGTCGTCATCATCATCATCATCATAGTCAGACTTGATCGATCCACTGCTTGAGCCTCCCAAAGCTGTCACCACCTCTCACGATTTTGTGACTTAACAATTCCACATCGCAGCTGCACACGAGGTCACTTAATCGCTCCGTCGCTTTGATGTGCGTTTTCTCAGACGCGTTCCATTCCTAGGCTGCCACTGTGCTTTAAATCGGTGCTTTTACTATTAATATATATGTGTTTAGTTGAACGTTTACTGGTTGTAGTTACCACGAGAGAAAAGAAGAACTGAAAATATAATGGGTATCAAGAATTTGTTTTAAGACAACAGGAAGAATAAGATAAAAGAGTCACGAATAACTGTTTTCATGTTTCAAAGCAGGGAGTAAAATGTTTTTTTTCGCTTCTAGGACAAGTACATTCAGGAAATGTGACGATACAAAAGATATGTTCACCCAATGTGTTCCCTCGCTGCTAATCAGTGACCAACAATGGAAGAGTATATCTCCCTTATAGCTTTTTCATTTACACAATTCCTGATTAAAATTTTCCATTTGTGGAGTGGAGGCCAAAAGCAGTGAAAGACGCGTCACGCAGTCTGGTTAGGGTGCACTTGCATAGCCTCCTGTCATCACGCTGAAAGTATTTGTTTCAATTTAATATATGAGAAACAAAAATACCAAGCTGTCTCAACAATGATTGCATTTATCAAGAGTTCACTGTGTTTTGTTTAACATTACTTTCACTACTACATTAATTGTCTGGAGGTCTGTGGATGGTAAGCAACAATTATATTATTTAATTCACAAATCAATTGAAAATCAGTTTTGCCACAGCTTAAATTATATATCTTGAATGCGTATGTAAAGCTATTATGACATGTTCTGCTCTTCATACCGTTTACGTTTAGCATTTATTTCCACTTAAACCGATTGCACATCCTACATCTATTGATCACCCATTATGTCAATTTTATACGCTCGCTGGCTTTGTTGATTAAAATCATGGGCTTTGTTTCCAGGAAACAATTGCATCTCGATCTTCCATAAAACACAATCAACTCTTTACGCTGTTTGCTGTTACGCCTTTTGCTGTAAACAAGGCACTGTTATGGCCAATCAAGCCGCAATGCAGAGGCGCGGCAAAAAGCTTTGGAAAGCCATTTTCCGTCCCTAGCGGAATAACTATTTGCATGGCTGGAACAGCCTGCTGTAATTTTATTATTCTCCGACAAGTTTAATGCTCCAAGTAATGCGTTTATAGCACGTTTATGGCAGCGCCGATAAAAATGCAAAAAGCCTTGTTAACTTGTTACTTTCGTATAAGGCAAAGCCATTAGCCTTCTTAAGGTACAATTTAATCTCTTATTTTCTAAGCGAGGTTGAACGAGCCACCGGAAGTGTACTGTTGTTGTTCTTGTTGTTGGAAGTCTGCTTCAGCAATTCAAACTCTTAGACAGAGAGCTACCCTGGGCAAGTGCTGCCGGCACAGTACCATTAAGTGCACACCGTCCTTGGAGGGAACGTTAAGCCGGCTGTCCTGTGTGATTGTTTTTCCAACGTACAAGGTCCCGCGAGTGTACTGCGGTGATGAATGCATGCCGCGAGTCAGGGCCAGGGATGATGCTGCTGCTGCTGCTGCCGCAGATGCCGCAGATGCCCCACGTGTCCTAAAAAAAAAGAGGCGTGCTGTCCACAGAGCAACTCCGTGCGGCGACGATGCGAACGCACGGACGCGTCTTCGTCGCGTTAACGCACGTTGTGGAGAGAAATGCACGGAAGGAATCTGTCTGCGCGGCGATGCTTGAGGATCGGCTTGACGCGACGTCGCGTCAAGCCGATCCTCGATGCGACTTCCCCAGTTAAACGCGCAACGTTGCGACAATGTCGGCACGTGGTCGGAACCGTTGGATGAACGTTAGTCCAACGTTCCGTGTTTATCGGGTCACCATCTATGTATGGAATTTGCACCGTTGGGTACCCCGATGTCCTTGTGTGCATCAAAAAGATTAAGACGTCTCTTAGGCCGCGTGTTTTTTGTCGCGTCGACCTAACACGACTGAAATGTATAATGCAGATACATTTCTGAACAACGGCAGATACACAAGAAGGTGAGTATATAAATAATATAAACACTTCACTTGTACTCCCTGGTCCAAAGCATCTTTGCAGTTGACAGCGGCCGCACTGGCCAACGAGTGTGAAACAAGTATTGCTGAAATACAAACCGCAGCGTCAATTATTCACGTGCACGTGTTGTGATGTTGCCTTGATGCATTGTGTGGACACTTGCTTATTATAGAACCATTTATGCATTTTTAAAATTGCCCAAAGGGGCTTCTGCATGACTCGAAGACCAGTTCTGGGCTTTTAAGTCATGTTTTTTTTGTAAGTTGAAAGCGATGATGGAATGGAGCGCCAAATAGTGCGATGTCATTAAACATTTACGCGCATCGTTTTGGGAGGTCACATATGACACAGTTGTGTTAATGTTGTAAGCCATCTTACAAAAGAAGTCTCCATAGGATTTGAACATTCGCCTTGCTTTGCTTCTCTGAGTCGTGAAGCGTAAAGAAGGCCATTTAACTGAGAGGTGAAGCTCAGTGTAGTCGTAAGGGAAGTGCATTACTGTGCTGGCAATTTACATACTGCGATGCTTCGTGCAGCAAAGCTAAGCAAAAGCCAGTTGAGTGTGAGCATCACACACGAGAGGGCTTGTGAATTATAATGAATCACTCCGCCTATGACTCCTGTGGTTGCCCATGCCATTGATGGTGGTGGTGGTGGCGTCTGATCTGGGTCCTTTACCACGCTTGTCCGATGCTGCCCTCTATTGGCATCTCTGGCACATAACCCTCACGTGTTAATTGTAACGTTGACAACGAGTCGGCGATACTGCACGTGGGAAATATGTGTTGTAAGCTTAGGGAGGGAATATTGTATTGTTTTACAGAGAAGTGTGTGCTTCTCATACATTTCAATTCATGAAAGCGTATTAAAGACTTAGCAGGGCTTCTCAAACCTTTATTTAAACTTGTATATTATGCAATTTCTGTTAAAATATAAGGGTTGTGGTTAATCATTGATTTCTTGCGATTTCATAAACAAACAAAAACATTAATCTAGTCCCATATATACTATACATATATTCAGTTTTATGAAAATAATACTCATGATTGGTGTTTTTCAATCGTCACGTTTGGATGGCATCTAAATATTATTTGCCAGGGTAAAACGCTATCATTAGGTGTACCTTTTATAATATGACATTTCTAGCAAAAGTATTTACAGTAATAATTCATTTAATGCAGTTGTCAGTCCACCCCTCAGTCGTGGTAGTTGTTTTGACCATACTTCACCAAGATGGTCACTGGGGGTTAGTGGACGAAAGGAGGCCCGCAACTGGTTCAGATTACACTCACGACCGATCTCAGCCATGGCAGGGAATCAAACTCATTTGAACAGATTGATATGGCAATACACTAATAATAGCCCCACAGCTGCCCCCGTATACACACGTACAATATAATTGTCCTAAGTGAAAATATGTCTCTGCCAAAATAACGTGGAATGGCTATCACTGGAACAGGACCACCAGCCAAGATCAGCGACAGCACTGCCCCAAGTACTCACTGGAGTGAGCAGGCACTTATTCAAAACTATATTGCAAATTTGATATCCGAAAACGTCATAATATTGAAGAAAACTGCAACTACAGACTGTTGGAACAATCATGGAATTATTTCTTTTAAAAATCTAATTAAATATTGCATATAAATTGCAATGAATTTGCACGCTTTTACCGTGCCATGCTGGGTATGCACTGCGCCGAGTGTCCTACGTTTTGGAGACTTCATTCAACGGGGCTTTCCTCCCTTTCAGGTTTTCCCAGGATCGTCCTATTTTTGAAGTAGTTGTCTTAGAACTCAAAACGTAAATGTTGTGCTGTTAACCCACCACCACCCGCCACAGCCAATTAGGAAGGTCTGTCACGTAAACACAACGTGCCAATTAATTACTACTTCAGCACACCGGTGTGTTGGAGAGTAAACGCACAACATTTACATTTTGAGTACGGCGTTTCGCTGGTGATGACGACAACCAGCTTCGTCAGGCGATTTGCCACAATTGTGAAGGAGTCTTCCTGTTTCCAGTCTTAAATAAAGGGCGATGTCATCACTGCGATGTCATCATACCAGAGAGTTAAAATCCTCAGATTTTTGTCAACTGCACAGTAGTGCAACACTCGAGACATCGCAACGCCATTTACATCAAATTCTCCCCTCCTCCGCTATTGTGAAATACCGCCTGGTTTTGCTTCCCCATCATATATCCTGGATTTGCTGTTAAATTCCTCACGGGTGGCAACTCTAGGCCGGTGATATGGTTTTGGCGATAATTATCGACGCGTCTCGATCTCGTCGCTTCGCCGTCGTCGGCACAGACGCCGAGGGGTCCGTGCGGTTGCTGCCGGCGGTTGACTGCGCGGTTGCTTTTTGCAGGGACCGGCAACTTCTTTGGATTTATTGCGGCGCAGACACCGATGGCACGTATACATGCACACGAGGAGAAATTTAATTCCAGGCGATAATGGTGTCGGGCGTGTAAACAGTTGCGTAGTTTGCTATCTCGTCGGCCACGGTTTGTCATCATTACCGGCATCGGTCACATTTATGCCGGTGCCTTTCACACTCGGCGTTCAGCCAATGCGTTCACAAGGCAACCCCGGGTTAGCAGGGGCCCTGGCAGCTGGCAGCATCAATG